ATTGTCCCATATACCAAAAGGTGGTGGGTTCAATTCCTGGTCAGAGCACATACCCAAGTTGCAGGTTCAATCCCTGGTCTTGGAAGGGACAGAAGGCAACCAACCGATGTTTCTCTCATACATCCATGTTCTCTCTCTCTCTCTCCCCCTCTTCCTCTCTCTAAAATCAATAAAATTAGAAAATAATAAAAATTAAAAATAAAAGACTACCACTTCTATAGTTATTTAAGTAGTTAATCATTCATAAATGAAATTTTATAATTTGAAATAAGAATTACATTAACATGACATACTTTTGGTAAAATGCTTCATAAAATTTGGGGAAATTTTTTGTACCTATACTCCCATATGCAGCACTATCTGTTTATACCTAAAGTAAGATGATCCTGAGAAACAGTCTTGAAATACATGTTTTCTTTTTCCTGTGGGAGCACTCAGAGATTAGTAGAAGTTTTAAAAATACTTAATAATTTAATGACATGTTTTTTAAAAATGGCTACTACCATTCTTTGGCCTATACAGAGGTCATGCTTAATATTACTCATAAAACAAAGATTATACCAGTTAAGTATAATCATTCTCTTTACAACCACAGAAAGTATCTAATATTATCAGTTGAGCTAGGACAGATTACTTACAGAAGTCAAACCTGATTTTAAGAAACAAATAAAAATCACTAAAGAGACTTAGCAACGTATTATGAAGTACACATTCATTCAACTATCACTGGGTACCTACCTAGGAGAAAGCACTATGTTAGTTAGATACAGTAAGAGAAAGAAGTAAAACATTGCTTCCATCACTGCTTACAAACTTAAAACCACTGTGCAATAAAGTTTAAAAAGCAACATGAGAGATTATAAGGAAACATATGCTTAAATATCAAATTAGTAATGTGAACAAAAAATAAGATCAGAGGAGAGATTATATCCAACTCTTTTGAAGGTACTTCCAGTCCATGTACCTGGTTTAGTTTTTACTACAGGAAATCAATCAGATTGTTTAAATTATTGTAATTTGTTTTTTAATGTAGAAGCACTGGAGTTGCAGAGTCTTCAGCTAGAAAAGGCGGAAAGGAATAACTGGGTAGGAAATCTGACTAAGTGACCTAAGGTCACTTCCTTGGGTCTACAGTTCTTTCTTGATTTAAGAACATATAAAATCTGAAATATGGCCGAAACCGGTTTGGCTCAGTGGATAGAGCGTCGGCCTGTGGACTGAAGGGTCCCAGGTTCGATTCCGGTCAAGGGCATGTACCTGGGTTGCGGGCACATCCCCAGTGGGAGATGTGCAGGAGGCAGCTGATCGATGTCTCTCTCTCATCGATGTTTCTAACTCTCTATCTCTCTCCCTTCCTCTCTGTAAAAAATCAATTAAAAATATATTTAAAAAAAAAATCTGAAATATGTGGTAGTATAGTATGTGAAAACTGGCATTCATAAAATACTGAAGTGCTGTCTAAGACAATGGTTTTCAAACTCTACCGAACATCTAATAACATCTAATGACTGAGTATCTTGTTAAACCATATAGAATAGATGCTTATGTAGTATCTCAAACCTTTCGAATCAGAATCCATAAATGTGCAGTCAGGGCATTTGTATTCTGAGCAGCTCCCCCAGGTGATTCTGATGTGCAGTGTGAGAATTAAGTGTTATATGATTAAGTACACAACCTTCAGTGGCAAGAAAGCCTGAGTTCAAATGCCAGCTCTTTTAAATATATATATATATATATATTTGTATTGATTCCAGAAGAAGGGAGAAGGAGAGATAGAAATATCAAGGATGAGAGAGAATCACTGACTGGCTGCCTCCTGCATGCCCCCTACTGGGGATTGAGCCTGCAACCCGAACATGTGCCCTTGACCGGAGTGGAACCTGGGACCCTTCAGTAGACAGGCTGATGCTCTATCCACTGAGCCAAACCAGCTAGGGCCAAATCCCAATTCTAATACTTAATACACTGTGACCACCAACTAACCTTCCTAACACTACTTCTAAGCTTCTTTTTTTTAAAAAAAAGAAAAAAGGGGGGGGCAATATCACCCATTCTTCAAGTGATTTCTCTAGGGTTACAGGTGATGAGGCATGTAAAATGTTTAGTACAATTCCTGGACTATTTAGGAAGCATTCAATGAATTCATTCATTTAACAAACATTTATTAAGCACTTACACAGTATCAAAAGATGAGGAACATCTCATTAAATTATTAAGTATTAATAAATATGGCAACTCTGTAATGGTGTTATGAGAACACATAATTAGAAGAATCTATCCTAATCAGGAAAGTCTTCCTGAAGTGAGCTGCATGATGAGTAGGCATTAACTGGATGAAAAGGAAAGGAAATGCATTTCCAAGCAGAGGAAGCTTCATCACCAAAAGCCATGTACCTGAAGCAGAACAGAGTGACTAGGGAAGAAAGGAATGCCAGAAAGCACTGTGGAGATGAGGGTGGAAAGTCAATCAGGGGACCGAAACAGGCAGTTAAGAACTTTAGTTCCTTTTATAAACAATGAAGTCACTGAAGGAGACATATTGGAGACAATATGATTAGATCTGTATTTTTAAAATGTCACTCAGTCTGGGGTGGAAACCTAGAAGGAGGCACAGTAAATGCAGCTAGACCATAATTAGGTGGCTAGTGATACTTCAGATGAGAGATGATCGTGGCTGAAACTAGTGGCGACGATGAAGGCAGACAAGAGATATTTAAGAAGCACAATCAACAGGACTTAATGAGAGATTGATAATGAGGCACAAGAAAGAGGAAGCTGTCACACTTCTCCTATAGAATAGAAAACTAGAGGCCTGTTGCACGACATTCATGCACTGGGGGTGGGGGGATGGGGGGATCCCCTCGACCCAGCCGGCCTGCACCTTTCAGTCTGGGAGCCCTTGGGAGAGCCGGGAGCAGGCCTAAGCCATCAGTCGGACATCCTTAGCACGCTGCCACGGAGGCCTGCCGCTGTGCTCGCCAGCCATCAGCCCATGAGCCCAGCTTGTGGCTGAGCGCGCTTGTTGAGCATTTGCCCCCTGGTGGTCAGTGTGCATCATAGCGACCAGTCATTCTTCAGATGGGTCAATTTGCATATTACCCTTTTATTATATAGGATGATAGATGATGAAGCCAGTCACTTGAGTTTAACACAATAAAAGGGCCTATTTGGGGGGGGGGGTAGAGGGAGTAAAATAGTGAGTTTCAAACATGTGAGCATGACTATATTCACAATAATAGGGTTATTTGCACAGAAATGTATGTAAGTACAATGCGCTTATATTTATTTTATTGGTTATTTGTGGATCTTAGAGAGAGAAAAAATAGGTTTCTGAGGCTTCTGCATGTGTGTAAAGTGGATCTGAAAGAATTAAGGTCCTTACCTTTCTTAGGTCCTTTCTTTTACATACTCCCCCAAAAGCGTCTTTTTTTAATATATTTTATTGATTTTTTACAGAGAGGAAGGGAGAGGGATAGAGAGTTAGAAACATCAATCAGCTGCCTCCTGTACACAACCTACTGGGTATGTGCCCACAACCAAGGTACATGCCCTTGACCAGAATCGAACCTGGGACCTTTGAGTCCGCAGGCCAAAGCTCTATCCACTGAGCCAAACCAGTTAGGGCCAAAGGCGTCTTTTAAGAGTACAGTTTAATAGTGACAAGAATTTGACCTATACTCAGCTGATAAGTCATTTTTAAATTTAAAAATTAATATTCATACTAAAGAATAAGAAAGCCAAACAAAAGCACCTGCAAAGTTCAAAACGTAGCTTCAAGCACCTGACTTTCAAACCATTAACCAGAGCATGAGGGGATTTTACAAGGACAGGCTGTAAAACTATGTTAATTTTCCAGAATGGAGAGGCACCGTGAATCCAATTTGTAAAACAAATCATCACACAGACAATACCTGAATTTGATTTACAAAAAAAAAAAATTTAAAAAAACATAGCTTGCAACTTACAAAAAAAAAACAGCTTGCAATTTACAACTGTAAGTCACTACCGCCTTTACTTTAAGTCGCTTGTCTGGAGACTCGTGAAAACTGTTACAGGAGCTGACTTGACAGCGCTGGTCGCCGTAATTACTAACCATAGGTACGTATTCATTCGGATCGCACGAAGTTTTTGCAAGCTTTATCGGTCTCAACCGTCCTCCATCCTTTCTGTCCCGCTGCGAAAAACTCGAGTGGACGGGGATTTTTAGTCTGAACAAAACACCTGCCCCACCCACCTCGAGCACAATAACCTTCCGTTCCAGAACGAGAGCCACTGTCAGAAAAGGGCGCTGGGGCCCTAGGGGGTGACCCAGGGTATCGGAGGCGGACCCCAGGGCCGAGGGGAGCTGTCTCACCCAGTCCCAGAGGAGAATCCAATTTCCCAAAAGGGAACCCCGAGTTCGCCGACGGAAACCCGAGCTCCCGAGCCGGAGCGGGGAGCTCTCCCGGCGGCAGACGGCTCCCCAGCCGCGGTCTCCCGGCGCCCCC